GATATTATTACATGTGGATGACCCTATTGAAACTTCTATAAGAAAACCAAAAAACAAACTACCTCTGAGACCTCATTACTCAATCGCATCTACAAGTGCGTGACCTAAGATAACAACTTACAAAATTAAACTTGAAAAAGGTGAAGGGTTTTTTGAATTTCTACACTTGTTCTGATCTCTGCATGACCTCGCATACGAAAACGATCAGAACTCCTTCACTCGAGTATCTTTAGAAACTATTATGCGCAGACGCAACCTGCCCCAAAAGTCATTTCCAGAAATTTCTTTGTAATGACCAATTTATGCAAGCCGAATACCTAATCAACTGAGGAAAGAGTCTTCGCTCTGAGAAAGGAAAACCCGGGCCATGAATCTTGAAGCACCCTTCAGATGGAAAACTCGACCACCCCGTGAGCCCTGAATGGGTTTACTAATTTTTGACGAATATGTTAACGCCTCTTTTTCTTTGGCACTAAACCTAAAGGGTTCATCTAGAATTTACGGCCTTTTAAGTGTCATGTTGCGTATTTGGCTATTGACACGTTGTTCGTTTGGGCCAGAAATCTGTTGTAGTTTCGGGTTTTATAGCCATTAGTAGAGCCCCAGGCGCTGCGCTTTGAATGGGCTCACTAATTAGAGAACTTTATGGGAAATTAATTTGGCTGCGCCCCTTGCCAGGCCCTCGAATGAAGTTATAATTGTCGGTTCGGTTACTAATTTTCTGAATTTTCCAGATGCCGACAAATAATGGTTGTGATATTCGTAGGAGGCGTGACTATAGATTATTTTATGGCACAATCCAATTACGAGTGAAACAATATTACAAGTTCAAGTTTCAGAAAACAACTTTACGCGTTTAGTCCCAATTTATAACTCATGATTCATAGTGATTCTTTCCCACGCCTTGAGTGACTAAACGATCATTAATTTCCTGGAAAATCCTGACAGGAATTTCCATTAAATAAAAAAAAAAGAAAAACAGAATTCCTACCTTATGGCTGCGATCATACTTGAAATGCCTTGTTAGCACTTGGACAGCACTCCCCCACGAAAACGAAAAATCGTCGACGATTTACATAACAAGACCAGTTCCCAAGGCAGGCCGAGTCGGCTGGAGCAACAAAAACTGGTAAAGACAATCAGTGGCGCTCCACAAAAACTCCCGAATGCCTGTCAACGCATAATCCATCAAAAAAAAAAACAAAGTTAACAAGCCGGGGAATTGTAGTGGCAACTACTAGAAACAAACATTAAGCGGGGCTGGTGGGTATGGGTTGCAAGGGGATTTCGATGGGATACAGACCCCCTCTGGGCGATCAAAATCAATTTGGCGCTTTACCACACGAACATGCCCCACACACGACACGCCCACCCGCCTATCCGCCTCACTGTTCCAGTGTCCATCTCCATTCGGAGTTGCACAAACGCCCCACAGGAATTGCTCGGGCTTGGCCTGGCTAAAACAAGTAAGAACAATGTGGTAGATTGTGGCAACTTAAAAATGCTTAATATTTTGGGTTAAAGTTTATAGAAGCTTATAATTTAAATATATATTTCTTAAGTATTTTAAACGTAAGTGCCTATTAAAAATATGATACATAATACACACAAATTTTAGTCAAGAAGTTATTAGTTTCTTTAAGTCTCTATAGTCAATATACCTCTTGTTTCTGTACATATAGGGTAATGGAGACTTAGCCAAAGCCCCAGTCCGAGTTGGAGCAGCCACCTAACTCTAATTGGGCATAATTTAAATTCCACTCGTGAGCGCCATGAATTGTATTTAACGTTTTGGCGCTTCCCCAACTTGGGGCCTGGACTCTCTTCTCGGGGCTCCTGGCTTTGGCGGTAAATTTCATTTGATTTTATTCGGTTTCTCTTAGCTAGAGAGTCCAGATCGCAGACTGTGATCCTCGTGGATACTTCCTTATTTGTTTCAAACTTCTATGGCTGGTGGTGTGTTTGTTTTCAATTCTCGGCTTAATTGGTTTTTGCGCCTAGAGGTGCCCCCGAAACCCACACAAAGATATTGGCTAGCAGGAGGCTATTGATAAAAGTTCGATGCCTTAGTTTTGATTAGGAGGCGGCTATTAGAAAATTAAATATACGAGTATGTGTATTGCGGGTCTGGTTTTGTGTGAAAGTCGTTAGCTAAAGGTTGCAGAATGATTCTTATCCGGTAAACGGTTTGGTAATTGCATTTCTTACTACATCTTCAGAGGGATCTATTTAAGAACGAAAGAACATACTACGCTCCTGTCTTTCTTAAATTCCCTATCAAAATATTTTATCAGTGAATGGATTGTTTCAAGAAAACCCTTCACAGGAAGTTCCTTAGACAAATTCCTTACCCAAAAAAAACCTTTCATTTCAGGATGCCCTTCTAAGAATTCCAAAAAAAAACCTCTCACTCAAAACCACTCACTCCAGAGCTCTGCGTCCCTGTGTGCTGCACTTGTGCCAAACAATTTGTAAGCCATCATTTCAATTAAGATGCATAAATCACACCGAAATCAGCAGCCTCATCAGGGTTGAGGCAACAACAAGCACGCAGTCTCTGGAATGATTATCCTCCGCGTACACATCGTTATCCTCAAGTACGTCGGGCACTTAAGGCCGGGCATGCGCACAGCCCGACGAAAACCCTTTTATTTCCTTCCAATCGCTCTCTTCGAGTTCGTTTCATTTGATGCCGCCTTGGGTTCGGTTTTCGTTTTTGTTAAACGAACCAATTTAAACGGCGCATCGACAATGGATGAGCCCCGGACCGAGTCGTGGGCGGACTGCGGTGCGGGGCATTGGGCCAAGGGCTTGGCCTCATCCCAGGCCTCACCACCTCAATCCTTGCCAGGGGCGGAGGGATCAGCAATCGGAGTGCCGAGCAATTGCAGCTCTTTTAGCAGGCTCGTGAAACTGCTTTTTCACGCTTCGACAAATGCCCTTTGAGCTGCAGCAGCACCACTGACAACAAATTGAGGCAGATACGAAGAGGCAACGTGTTCTGAATTACAAATTAACAACTTTTTAACAGAATGATTAGTGTGAAGAGATTTTTAAGATTTTCATTACTTTTTTTCAATGAAATTAAAGCAATGTCTTTTAAGTAAGTATGGGTAACAGCATAATCTAATAATTATAAGGTAGTCAGTATCGATGTTGACATTTCGTTCCACTTTTAGTCCTCTAACATACAGTTTTCCAAAGCGTAAAGTAAAGTAAAGTAATCGATAGAAAAAGTGACTTTTTTTCTATTTTTAGAAGCTTATTTAAGGAATTAAATATATGAATCTAAGTAGAGCAACAATGTCTGGCTATGATATATTAAAATATTCCAGCAAAACCACCTAAGAAAATTTGTAATATAAACAAAACGGTACCAAACAAAAACGGTGAAAATTTAAGAATTATTTAGAAAATATTAGGAATCGTCGACCAGGCTTCGTTATAGTCCAATAATGTCCTAGACGAAATCCTTCAACAAAACAAATAGTGAGTGAAATTGCAAATCGGAACACTCACTTATCCTTGTTCTGTCAGATCGTTTTGGCTTTGTTAGCCAGCGCATGTGGAACGCAAACTTATTAGGGCCGAAAAGGTATTTATGAAGGTGGCACACGATTGGGCTGCAAATAGCCGCGGGAAACATGAAACGTGCGCCACCGTACGACTATCCCCGACTGAGCACGATATATATCTTTTGCGGATATCTTTCAGTTGCATTCGAGAACTGGCGTTAAGTGCCGCTGCCATTCTTTGAACTGCCCGGGGGCCCTTCACCTGTTGAAATGCCGTGTCCACTTCACAAAAACACCGCAAGGATAATCAGAAATGGGCGTAGCAAATGGAGGGTCAGGCACAAAGTGGCCATGGCCGTGGCAGTGACCGTGGTGGCCAGGTCAGGACTCTTAACTTGCGCGAAACTGTCAAAACGGGAATTGGCAGACAAACAACAATAAAGTGGAAAACATGTGACAAGGGCTGGCGTGGCAAAGGACGTGGCAGACAACAAAGGAGGCTCAAGTGCAAGGTGCTGCTCACAGGACTATAAATATTTTCTTTGCCGCACCGGGAATTTCCCCGTTTTAAGTGGCCGATTTTTAGCGTGGTCACAGGACACAGGTCATGGGTGTTACCTGTAAAAGCAAATCGAATTATTGTGCAGCCTCGGGGAACAGGTAAGTGATCCAGTGCCTAAGAGCGAGTGTCTTCAAGGGCTAAAGAGAGTGTGATCATTGCAAGAGAGTCTTCTGTGGATCGTGAGTATTTGAAAATGTAAACAATTCAGGTGATAAGCCGGCAAATAAAGTTTTCTTTTTAATATATTGTTATAAAGGGGCAATTTCTTAATAAATTGATTATTATTATTATGATATTTTGATTTTCAAAAAACTGATTATTTTAAAATTAAATAGTTGTAAAATAATTTTAATACAGCAGATTCTTTATAGGTTATATTATGAAAAACTTAAATGTTTCACTTCCTACCCAAAATTGACCTTTATTTAAATAATATTACTCATTAAAAAATATAAATTTAAAGAAAATTTATAAGGAAACATTTAAAACTTACTCTAAGGCAGATTAATTAAAATTACAAAACTTAACTTTAGTTTAGGAAAAACAATTATGTTTTAATCTTTTATTTTTTATTTCATATTTTAAGCAATAACCTTACATACAATTTATTTTATTCAAAAATAATACCTTCTATCTCTTGTATCTTCTAACTAAAATATCTTATTATATTAAAGTACCTACAGCTAAATCTATAAACCAAAAATCAAGATCAATAAAATCTCTAATTAGAATAGCCATAACCCATTCGAGGTGTTAGATTTCCCGGAAGGCCAGTGCCATTTCCTCAAGCTGCAGCAGCTAGCGAATGCGATCCACAAGACCCACTGGCACACAGATACTCGCCGCACTCACACAGCCACGCCGACAATCGACGATCCGACGGATACGAATGCAGGCGGCTGCGATCACTTCGAGTTTGACGGTCGTTTGCGTAGGACGAGATACACGCGGTACGGTAGACGCGACGGATTGGGATTCCGGTGTGGAGAGCAGTGATGCAGTGATGGGTGTTCTCTAGATGATAGTGCCTTCGAGTAGTAAAGCACGCCCTGTGCAATCCATTTGTGTGTCATAAAATTAAACCGCAATTAAGCGATAAGCTGCTGCAAATAAATAAGTGAATGCTATAGCGAGATAGCTGTACGCCGTTTCCGAGTTTGTTCCGAGCATAGTTCGCTAAAAAAGTGCTCCTTTTTTTTACACTTCACGGCGAGGATACCGAAAATAGCTGCGAAAGAAAAATGTTTGCTTGTCGCTGAGCGGGAAAGTGGAAAATGTGTCTGAAACAAAAATAAAATTAAATAGCGCAAAATGTTAAAGTAGAAAAGTTACAAAAAGTCTACGCAAAATAGAGCAAAAATAGAAGTGAAAAATTGGCAAGAGCAAGTGTTTGCAAAAAGCGAGCGGAAATCGTAAATGAGTTAAAAAGTAGAAATAATACAAAAAGTACTCGAATCTGTGCAGTGAAAATAAGGAGATTATGAATGAAAATAGGCTCTACAGCCGATGAGCAAAAATTAAATAATTAACAAGAGGTCCAAGTTCAAAGTCATTCGGTATAAAATGTGTTTCTAGAGCTGTCTTCTTACCCAAATCAGCATGCAAATGAGAAAATTGGTCATATGGCCTTTGGGCCTGTTCCTCGTCCTTTTGGCCATCGACTGCCAGGCCAAGAGGCAACGAAAGCGGCTCCCTGGTGTATCAGCCGCCAAAGAGCTTAGCGACTACAGTGTCCAGCTGAACGACAGCTCCTTGGAGTTCCACCAGAGCATCGTGTCCTGGACAGGAGTCCAACTCCCATCTGGCGAAAAGAAAAAGAAGAGGCCACAACAATCATCGCGACGCCACAAAACCAAAAGTGGCCTCCTCATAGAAAGTAACATTGCCGAGGAGGAGTCACCGCTGCCCAATTCCTCTTCGGAGTCCGTCACCAGGAAGAAATCACCTCACCGACGTCGCAACGGAAAATTGCAGAAATCACCAGGAGGCGGAGGAGTTGGAGAAGCTGGTAGCAAGTCGAATGCCAATGGTAAATGTCTATAACTATGGTCGGGTCTTCTAAATATGGTTCCCTGATCGATTGTGAGGCACCAGAAGTTGCTCGCATTGCTCGCCTTCGGTTTCCTGGTCTCTGGTCATGTTTCAGCCATATTTGGCCGCTCAAGTTGAAAGAACTTTCATGTGAAAGTTGTGACAGGAGGAAGAGATTCTTTAATTTTTGCACCGCTCTTTGGTTTTGCTTTTTTTGTAATTCTATACGTTATTACGTGAGAGGTCCAGTTATGGTCCGGCAATGTTGTAGTTGTCGTCGCCCTGGGTTCTTCTGGCAGTCAGTTTTGGCCCTGATCTGGCCCGGCCTGGTCTCTGGTCTATGGTCTGGCCTGGCCAGGCCTTACTTTTGTTGTCGTTAGTCGGAGAAGTTGGAAAAAGAGTTAGCTGTTGTGTTATGTGAACTTTTCCTATTAGGAAAATGAATCTGTGGGCCTGTTCTAGCCAGGCTAACTGGAAACAGATAGATCTCTTTCTGGATATGGGAGTTGTGGGTTCACGGGCCAAGGTTCATGGGGTTAGGGTGTCGCTAAAGAAAAAAGTTGCTACATTTTAAAGATATTTTTGAGCTTAGAACTGAAATAATTGCTTATGCATAATCGTTTGTCAAAACAAAGCCGGAAATCCAACAATTGATAAGGCAATTCTATTCAAAAACACACTCAAACCCAAACAAAAGCGATCAAAAAAGATGAATAGAGAAGCAATATGCATATATGCACATGTTTTTGTTCGGATGAATGTTTTCCTATAACCCTTGGCAATTGTCCCCGAGCGTGTGTGTGGGTTTGGGCACTTCTAGGCATTTGTTTGCCGAACACATGACCCCGGGGCCCGGCGAGGGTCCGGAACAGATTGAGGACAACAATAGCGCCAGGGTATGGTGTTGCGGCTGCCGGTAATTGTGGTCGATTCTCAGGTTCTCGAAACCAATGGAGGCGGAGACGCGGCCAGGATAGATTCCGTAACTAGGCAGCAGCAACAATGGCCGATTGTTAGGCAAGTCCCTGGAGAGGATAATTGATGAAGGCATGCGTATCGCATTTGGGAATACCTCACGCGCTAATAGGAACATATGTTTCTCTTGGGCCACGAATTCCAGGGAAGGCTGATATGGAGGCTATCCACCAAAACCCACACACATGTGGCAGAGAAACTAACACAAAAAAAGGGTTTATTAAAATATATTTTCAGCTGCCCTGGTCATAAAAGCTAAGTGGCTTATTGTGTCTTCTTCTGTAAGCTTTTTGTCGTAAAAATTAGTCTTAGAAGAGAGTTGACCAAAAACAAAATTAGTTCTGGTTCAAAGATGCTAGGAATTAAGCTTCCCAGTTGATAATAGTTTCTTAATGCCAGAATCTAGTCAATAGATGCAGACCATGATTAGCCCAGAAAGATAAGAATTAATTTGTATTAATTTTTAGTAGGAAAGAAACAAAAAATGAATCAATAAATGAGAAATCTGCTTTTCTTGGCGATCTCTTTAAGTGTTTCAACAACAGCTTGGGGCCAGTTTTCAATTGGTATGTCAGTAATTTGATTTCCTGACGCGATAATGATTGCAAATCAATTCTAAATCATTCCATTGTAAATAGATTCAATGAAACACTTTTCAACAACTAAGCCTTGAAGACATAAACGCGAATTGATGAAGCAAATTATTGGCGATTACTTCGAGTTAAGGCGTATTTGTAACGCCCAGACCAGGCGGTTGGCATTAATTGATTGATTGGCTTGTTTAGATTAGAGAAAATGAAAGTTTCCCAATGCCAAAATGGGTCAGATACAAATACAGATACAGAGACACGATCGGATACAGAGATACATACTATATAAGTAAAGAATGGATTGATCCGCGCTTGCATTTCCGTTGAGAGTGCCGGCTTGTTTTCCAATCAAGCCCTTGGATACTTGGGCAAACACGCACACTTTATCAGCTCATTAAGTATCTTGTGGATACATTCTTCAGATTGGTAGCGCATAAGTCATGGCCAACTCAAATCCAGCTGCTGTTTGCTTTTGCGCTGCCGATCGAGAGGTGTTTGAGAAATGCATTCTTCATTGATTTTTCTCTTTTTTAACATTTCGGATCGTTTCGTTTCGGTTTGCTTTGTTTTTGTTTGTTTCTTGTTAACTGCATTACACAATGCTTTGGGCTGGAAAGCGCACTTCAGTTTCTTACCCTTTCGGGGGCTGCTGGTGCTTCTGGAAACTTAGATTTGTGGGAAAATGCTCGACGGCCGGCTGTTGCCTGTTGTCATTGAGTTTTATTTGTTTTTAATTTTTTATTGACATGTGAAGTTCGTAAAAGTTTAGTGAACTCTCCGGTTTATGGTTGGTTTTCCACTGCCTCCAGCTGAAGCGTGAAAATCAAAAGTATTGAACTTGAAGATCCTCCGTGGATTTGATTTTTTATTGAGAAGATACATCTACCTCTTTATGGTGGAACTAATGCATTAGTCTGATGATTTGAGGGAATTATTCAAAGAATTTACGATCTAAATTATGTGATAAAACCAAAAAATTATGATATTTAAGAGCAAGAATTTCTTGCCCAATTCTCTAGCCTTCGTTCAAGATCTATGGTCACAAGGTATTCCCCGAATCTTCAAGTATTTTTCTTTGTATGTGAGACTTGTTTATCGTTTATAAATCTCTCATTCTCACCTGTCCCTCGTGCACCCTCCCCAGACCTCAGGTGGGCCCTTTGTTGCCGCAATTTATTTAAATGCACTTTATAGATCGGTCGAGTAACACCTGGCCAGGGCAATAATTTGCGCTGTCTTAACGGAAATGCACAAAATTATGGATGCATCAGACAGCTGGTCGAGGGCTAGGAGTACACTGCCACAAAAGTCCCCCATTTCCCAGGCTCCGGCCACAAACACATGTCAAAACAGAATCTCCACAAGGAGGGGATCCACAATTGTTGAACTCATTAAATGGCAAACAATAGATCGTGGAGCATTGTTCTTCGGAGGTAATTCGATATGGAAACTTAATATATCTTTCAAATACTCGGGCCGAGCTTTTTGAAGTAATCGGGCACTCCGGCAGCATTTAACTAAACTCGGAGACCATTAAAATATTTTTATGGACCACAAAACGGAATACCCCAGAAACTCCCCATGTAAACAAGAACACAAACAACTGAAAGGAGCGGGGCGTGTGTCTGAGGGCCTGGGCCGTAGGGCATTCTATAAACAAATATAGAGATCTGTGGCCCAAAACAAAAGGAGCTCTACCACCAAACTCCGCTGACCAACAGACGCCTCAAATGATCTATGGAAATTCTTCCCAGCTCCAGTATCAACATGAGCAAAACAAAACGTTCCAGAGTTTACACAAATGGGAACATTACTCTCCCGATGCTTAATTGTGGTCCGAGATTTTGATGTAGGAACCCCACATCCACCAGACTTCCCGCACGAGATCTGTAAGCGGTCGGCCCGAAAGTCCAGTCCCTCCGCGTGTGTTTGTTTGCATTGGCCATAAATTAATGTTATAGACCAAGTTTTGATAAGACATTGACGCCGTCTGTGAGGCGGCCGCGGCGGCGACCGCAACAACAAGCCGAAACTCTTGCAACAAAAACAGAAGAAGAATGGATGTCGGCCACCGGAACATTTAACGGGTCAGCGGCTGTTGATGTGCAGTCATGGGTGGTTGGGGTCTACATCAGGGGCTACAAGGGGTCTGTCCGGGGTCCATGGGCCTGGCAACAAATTCGAAGCTCGTTAGTGCAGACACTTCAGATAAGAACGCAAAGATGGGCGAGCGAATAAATAGTTTCTAGTTTTCAGATTGTTTTCCTCACCAGAATGTGGGTCAGTTTAAAAGAAAACGACTTAAGGTCGCTGAGTCTTGATTTAAAAACGTTGGGTCTGATTAAGAACCCGAAATAAGCAAAGCTTTTGTAAAATAAACAAGGTTATCTCGGAGTATAACGTTCAAAGGAATCCCTTCTATAATAAAGTCTAATTTAGTTATCAGAAATATGTTTAATCAAAAAAATATACCTTCTATCATGCACAAATAAACCTTTTACCTGTCGAAGTCGAGTCTCGAATATCCCCCAAAACGATCAACAGGTTGAATGGAAACGTTCCATGTTCCGCTTGGTGATATATCTTGTAACCTCTGCCGAGAACGGACTGCATCTTTATCGGTCTGTTTGTCAACATTCTCGAGACTGATAAACGATCGTTGATCGAATGCCACAACAGCTGTCATTGAACTTCATTGATAAATGCGCTTAGGGAGACCGGGTAAGACAGTCCTCGGTCTTGCCATGGTTCTCGAAAGTATCGGCTTGCGATGCAAGTGATAAGCTAAACACATATTCCACCGATCTCACCCCCAGAACTGGTAGTATCGGGTTTCAGGTTCTACCTGTTCTGTCACCAGGCGTCGCACCAAATGACCCTAAATCGCCAAAGATATATCAATATCATGGCCCCACTTGTCAACAGGTTCGCGTCTGTCCATCCACCCACACCCACTGCCTGGGGCAGAGATGAAACATTTCCCCTTTTCCGGGAAAGGAAGTGTCTGCTTTCTTTTGCCGGAATCCCTAGCTGAACGGAACCGCGGGCAAAACACTCGCAAGTGCTGTATAAATATTATAGAGTGTGAATCGGGTGAGCTGTCAGGGCTCTGGACTAATTATGCTTTATGTTTGCGTTGAAAGATGTTCTTCGCCCTTCCGCAGAAGCGAATGTTTAAAATTTGTTTGTTTTCCTCGTCTTAGTGGCTTTCCTTTGAGGTGTGTTTAAGGTTTCCACTGAAGGTAATCTATCTGATGAAAGCCGGATGAAAAATTGGCTCAATTAAAGATGGTAGAGTTCACAGAAAGAAAGTGCACAGGATGTGAGCTCTGTGGGGAATGACTTTAGTTTTGAGTTAAAGGCTTGCTGAAGATGTATTGAACTTTTAAAAAATATCTTCTTGATTAATTTATCAAAGGAACACCTAAACGAC